GATGGGTGGATTCTTGCAAGCTGTCCTCTTTGGCTACACAGGGTTCAGGTGAGACCTATGTTATGTCACATTTAATTTCTAAGCAACTACACGTCACTTGAAACCTTACTGTTTAGCTGGAGCAATGTGGTTTTAGTTGTGAAAAAGAAAGGAACTCGCAGCACCCAGAATATCCTCCAAAGCTCCCAGCAGGTAACAAATAAACAGGAACGTTAATGGTCCCGGATGAACTGTGGATACTGGGGACAGTTAGTCACTGGTGGAGAACAGGGTGGAGTTATCAGAAATTAGGAGCTTTGGTCCATTTCTCCTCCAGCTACGTTAGTGTTGAAAGCCATTGGCTTCAAAAGGAGTCAAAGCTAGGCCAACACCGAGCTCTTCAACACCAGTTGACACCCTCAGTGAAGAGGGACACCTCTGTATGATCTTGGGATTGTGGCTAGCATGTATCATTTTGATGTCTGCATATCAAACGCATCTAGTCCTGCCCACTCCATAGGTGGTTGTAGCGTTGGTTTCTTCACTAAGTGTGGATGAAGCTTAAAGACTGCGATCCACCAATTCCATTGGCCTTTTGGTTAACTAATTGAAGAGAAAGTCCATACAACCACCTTGCAGGCAAAGACAAGACTGCTTACCTTATACACTGTGGTCTTTCTAAGGGGACCTTTGTAAATGGAGACCCTGGTCCTCTGCCACCACACTGAGCTGCTGTAGGCTATTCCCACTTTAAAGACTGGAAATAGATTCGGAACAGGTAAGAGAGTCTCTCCGGGTCACTTGATGAGTTAGTTGCACATTTGGGAAGCTAAATGTCATTCCCTAAGTCTATCCTCTGGCTTAGCTATAAGCATCATCCTATCTCCTTTGGATGTGGTGTGGGAAGAGCTCCTGCGGCCCCTCTGAAGCAATCTGCCATCTGCACACATGGGGCTCTGCAAGCCTCTGCGGAGGAAGGTGCTCAGCTGGCATCGCCACAGCATTAAAATACTTTAGAAAAAAACATTGAGCTGTTCATATAACTTCAAAGCTGTGTCTCATATCCAAAGCAGCCCAGTGGTTTCAACCCTGAAGCAACAGTCTGTTGAGCGTATTCTTAGTTTAATTGAGGATGGATCAAACTGACAGGCCTTTTGATTTCCAGCAAAACCTTCTAGCACTAACTATATGTTTTCACTCTGTGTGTGTGGCCAGAAGCTGCTGAGAAACCCACCAGCTTCTTGGTGGAGCTGGGTGTGAGCTACCATGTTCCCAGCTGAAAAACTTAATCTCAGCTTTTGCGAAGCTTGAAGGTCTTCAGATGCTCTGTGTGTGTCAGGTTGGGCCCCTCTCGGCACAGGCTCAAGCCACAGGCTTTGGGGCTCCAGCCAAATTTCCAGAGATGTTGAGATGACATTTATGCAGCCCTCAAGGCTGTGCTCTTGCCTTGCCCGTTGTAAGCCACGGACCCTGGCTGGCACATTGGCCTGCCACTGAGGCTCTCCAGTCTCTTGAGCCTCTCTTGAGTCCTCTCCAGTCCATTGAGCCCTCTCAACGGACTGGAGATGATGGTCAAGAGCTCTCACGTGTCAAGATTTGAGTAGGAGATAACAGTGGCCATTGTCTTTTCGCATTCAAAGCCAAAACACACAAATAGGCTCTGTTTGACTTTGGGTAAAGGCTTGGAGAAAGGATTCAAGCTGTTTGCTTGACTTTTTTTTTTTTAAATCTTTTGGTGAAGGAGCACATACAGCGGTGCTGATTTTAAAGCCCTTCAAACCGGTGGGAGTGGGAGCTGATGTGGGTTTCTGAACGACACCTTGCTGACCTGCTTTGGTCACAGCCCGGAGGAAAAATGAAAACCGAGCTGTGCAGATGCATCTTTGTTGAGATGGCAAATTACAGAGGAGAGGGGCAGCGCTAGCAGTCAGGTGTGTCTTGTGATTTAATTGAGCAGCACTTCCAGGAGCATCTCCACCAGGCGTGGGGTGAGCTCCCACCATCTCTTCACCAGCATCCTATACCTTTCAGAGCAACGGCAGATGAGAATGGATACGTGCTGCTGGGTATTTTGGCTGAAGCTGAACTTGCATCCTAAAAACCCCAGCTACAGCCATCTCCTGAGCTCCTCACATGGCTGGAGTTCAGTTCCAGCACATGGCCCAGAGCCTGCGCCCGTAGGTTCATATGACCAGACTTCAATGGCAATTCCTGCTTGGGTCCATGGCCACCTCTGCTCGTTCCTGTGCCCTGTTCCCCTCCCCATCTCAGAGCAGGGTGTTCTTGAAATTTTGCCAGCGTAGCAGCTGATGAAGCCACCCTCTGAACATGAGTGGGGAACTGAGCTGCCTTAAAAAAATAAATATTTTTCTCTTTTTTTTTTTTAATTAAAAAAAATCAAACCTAATGGAAACCACAGGCCCCAAACAAGGAACTGGAA